GTATTTTTCCGTCCTGTGTTGTGACTACAGCAATGGCTAAACAAAGTCTATCACCAGAGGTCAAAGAAATACTCTGAAGTAGGTGTTAGAGTAGCTGAAACTCTATTTAAGAATTAGGGTAATTCAAAAGGAGTGTTTGTCTTGTCTTGGTTAATCGAGGCCCAGGAAGCAAATCTAGGGTTAAATAAGTTACTACAGCCAGCCCACACTGAAGTTGAGGCTGAAGGAGCTCTGGAATGCTATTATAATAAAATCGACAAGGAAGTGAAGTTAACCTCACGGGCCTGAAGATGAAAAACAGACAGTTGTCCATCAAAGGACACTTCCACTACATTTTGACAATGAGAGTTCCAAAGACTCTTCTGTGAAATAAAAAAAGTCACCACATCTGTTTTAAATAGGCAGCTGCTTATTTTAAATCAGAGACCCTTAATTGTTCATTTGCTTTTAAAAGGAAACATCCTCCCCACATCGAAGCTGCCAAGATCCGTCAGTATCCTGCACATTTCAATCAAGTCACCTCTTATCTTTCTAAATTCCAGCGATACGAACCTAGTCTGTCCAAACTTTCCTCATAAGGCAACCCCCTCATTCAGCTTTCAGTCTAGTGAACCTTCTCTCAATTGCTTAAAATGCATTTACATCCCTCCATACGGTAATCAATACTGTACACATTACTCCAGATGTGATATACAGTGTTCTGTATACCAGAAACACAACCTTCCTACTTGTGTGTTCAATTCCCCTCATGATAAATGAGAACATTACATCCATTTACATAGTTACTTGCTATACCTGCATCTTTTGTGATTCATGCAATAGGTCACCCAAATCCCTCTTCATCTCAGAGCTCTGCAATCTCTCACCAATTCAGATAATAAGCCTCTTTTTTATTCCTCCTGCCAGAATACACAATTCCACATTTTCCCACATTATACTCCATTTGCTAGATCTTTGCTCATTCACTTATCAATATTCCTTTGTAGCCTCCTTGTGTCCTCTTCACAACGTACTCTCCCACTTATCTTTATGTCTTCAGCAAATTTGGCAACCATACTTTCTGTCCCTTCATCCAAGTCATTTATATAAATTGCAAACTGTTGAGATACCAGCTCTGAACTCTCTGGCACACCACTCATCATATCATGCCAATCTGAAAAAGCCAATTTACACCTATTCTCTGCTCTCTGTTAGCCAGCCAATGTTCTGTCCATACCAATATGATGCTCTATGAGCTTTCATTTTTTGCTGTAATCTTTGATGTGGCACCTTACCACCAAGTAGAGTACATCCACTGATTTCCCTTCATCTACAGCACGCTATTTCAAAGAACACAATTTCTCTTTCACAAACCATGTTAACTCTGCCTAGTTCCCTTGAACTTACCTAAATGCCTTGCTATAACTTCTTTAGTAATAGATTCTAACATTCTCCCTATGACTTATGATAAGCTAAAAGGCTTACTGTATCTTACTTTTTGTCTCCCTCAATTTTTGAATAAAGGAGTTATATTTGCTATCTTCCAGTCTAATGAGGACCTTCCCTGAATCAAGGAAATTTTAGAACATTAAAACCCAATACATTAACTATCTCACCAGCCACTTCTTTTAAGACCCTAGCAATAAAGTCCATCAGAATCTGACCACTTACTAGTCCACAGCTCTAACAATTTACACAGTACCGCTTCCTCCGATGATTATGATTTTCCTGAGTTACTCCTTCCCTTCTAGCTCCTGATTTACCACTGCTTCTCGGACATGACTTGTATGCTCTAAAGTGAGGACTGATGAAAAATACCTGTTCAATTGATCTGTTATTGCCTTGGTTTCCATGTATTAATTCTCCAGTCTCCCCTTCTATTAGATCCATTTTCTTACCTCATTCATTAAATATTTACAAAAACTCTTTATCATCAGTTTTCATATTTCTAGTTAACTTTTTCTCTATTCTAATTTTCCCTACTTGTTAATCAATAATGAAATTCACTAAGGCTCCTTAGTCAGCACCTTCCAAACCCATAAACACTTCCATCTAGAAGGACAAGGGCAGCAGATAGATGGGAACACCCCAACCTGCAAATCCCCATCCAAATCACTCACCCTCCTGATTTGAAAATATACCACAGGTACGAATGGGAAATCTCACACCAAAAATCACAGTATCTAAACACTACGGACCAGCAGTGGACTACAACCCTAGAACAGGCCATCACCATCAATCAACATAAAACCAAAACTAAGAAGAGACACAGGCTACAGGAGAAACTCACCAAACTGATCCACCACAAAGACAAGGGCAACAATAAACCGGACAGATGGATAAGAAACCTATCCAGCAGACAACTCACAGAAACTGAGAAAGCCATCCTATTACGCGGACTGAACTATAACCACAAAGATGTGAACAGAACAGACTTCATGGCCGCCCTGGAGACTACATTAAAAGACAACAAACTCACGGACGAAACACAACAAGCCATCTGACAAACTATAATCCCCACACTACATAGCAGGAACAAAGGGGACAATTTGAACACATCAGAGAGAAAAGCACTAGAGAAACTCAAGAAAGATAAGAACATCATAATCCTACCAGCAGACAAAGAGCGCATGACCGTCATTATGAACAAACCAGACTACATTAAGAATGCACAGGCATTGCTTGCAGATACAACCACTTACCAACAGACGAAGATAGTCCCAACACCGTAGCTAGGTAATAAGACCACCCAGACACTGAAGAGACTAAAGGATGCAGGACTGATAACCAAGATGGGCTACATGAGAATGAAACCAGAAGGGACGAACACCCCCCGCTTCTATGGACTTCCTAAAGTACACAAACCAGACATCCCTCTCAGACCCATTGTTTCCCTACAGGCACACCTTCACACAAACTGGTCAGGGACCTACAACAGAGATTGAAACACCTAGTCGACGGATCATGCCGTTCCATCCACTCAACCCAAGATTTCCTCAATACCCTCAAGAAGTAAAAATCAGCAACGTTGAGATTATGGAATCCTTTGACGTCACAGCTTTATTTGCATCAATCAACATCCCACTAGCCAAAGAAACAGTGGCCACATTACTACAGGAAGCAATACAGACCAGCAGCTCCATCAGTAATAACAACATACTCAAACTACTAGACCTGTGCCTCACCACACACTTCGTCTTTAATGGTCAAGTATACAAACAGATCAATGGGGTCACCCATCTCAGGACTCATTGCAGAAGCAGTCATGCAAAGACTAGAACACACCACCCTCGCCCACATTCAACCTAAACTGTGTATCTGGTACGTAGACGACACATTTGTCATTATTAAACACAACAAATTAGAAGAGATCCACCACCCCATCAACAGCGTATTTGCAGGGATTAAATTCACAAGGGAAGAAGAAAACAACAATCAACTTCCGTTTCTGGATGCTAAAGTTGAGCGTATGACCAACGGGGAGTTCCAAACCTCGGTATACAGAAAAGCAACCCACACTGATCAAATCCTCAACTTCCACAGCAACCACCCCAATGTCCACAAACAAAGTTGCATTAGAACACTGTTTAAATGAGCCAGGACACACTGTAATGCTCTGGAACCAAGCAGGAAAGAGGAAAAGCACCTACACAAAATCCTTGCGATAAATGGATATCCCCGCAACTTCATCCGCAGGTGCCTACTAAACAGACAACAGGGGGACACAGTACGCCCTAACATACTGGCCACATTGCCCTACATCAAGAACATATCGGAACTGACAACAAGACTCTTAAGACCATTGGGAATCATGGTGGCCCACAAGCCTACAGCCACTCTACGACAAACACCCACCACTCACATGGATTAAAGACCCCATTCCCACAACACGTAGAACCAACGTGATTGACAAAATACCATGCAGGAACTGCCACAAACATTACATTGGACAGACAGGAAGGAAACTAGCCATCAGAATACATGAACATCAACTAGCAGCAAAACGACATGATAAACTCTCCTTAATATCGGTACACTAAGACAATGAAGGCCATCAGTTTAACTGGGACAAGGTAACCATAGTAGCCCAAGCCAAAAGTAGACACACACAGGAATTCCTAGAGGCATGGTTCTCCACCTGTATTGCAATCAACAAACACATAGAATTGGACCCCATATACAAACTCATACAGATCAAAACCAGAAATGACAGTACTCACCATAACGGACCAGACAGTATAAATTCCAGGCAGAGTAGAATAACATTGTTTCATTGGAGGCTCCACTGATGATGTTACCTAGCACGGTGATGAAATGTCTGAACGAGATCAAGCCAGCTCGGCGAGCAAGTCAACAACCTCACCCACAACCTGAACTACAGATCTTTGCCAAAACTTTAAAAACCATCATTCCTTTAACGGTTGCTGGATCAAAGTCACGGAACTCTCTCACTAATGGTATTGTGGTTTACCTACAACATATGGACTGCAAATGACTCAAGAAGACAGCTCACCACCACCTGCTGAAGGGCAACTAGGGATGGGCAATAAATGTTGGTCCAGCCAATGATGCCCACATCCCATGACTAAATTAAAGAAAAAGCCTGTAATAGTGAGCAGCAGGAGCTCAGATCAAGAATACCATCAAATTCAACAAATGAGCACACCTGCAGCATAAACTGGTCTGGAACATCTCGTTGTATAGTCACCAGCTGTTTTACTGGGAACTGAAACATGTATTTCACAAAATGCTGTGTATATAGATCAATCTCTGACCAGGATAACAGTTAGTCTCACTCATTTGGAGGATATTTTCAGGAGTGGTCCAGACTTGCATTAGTTCTATCAGTGGCACCAGGGAAAAGCCTTCTTTAGAAAATCAGGAAAGAAGTAAACATTTTTGGGTACATGAAATGAAAACATGGACGTCACGCATGTTTTTTAATTAACTGATTTCAAACTAAGTGTTATTTATGCATTAAACTGTAACCCAGTTCAATTTGCATTAGGTGAGATACTTACTGCTGCTCCAGGATAAGATACATGTGCACAATTTTCCTGCCAGGATTTGTTCAGACTATGGACAAAATCATTATACTGTGGATGATCCGGGTTAGTGATGGAAAATCCCAATATATTCACATGATCTTCTTCTAGTCCGTCAAAATGAAGAAGGGGAAACTCCTGGGACCAAGAAGGAATAAAAAAAAAACTTAGATTTCTAGTGTTTATTTTTTCTGTCAATCTTCTTCCCTTCTCAGGAAGCACAGGTCACCCTCCAATATCTAACACAACTTCTGTATTTATTCTGTACATGTGGATCATCACAGTACAAGCTCTCAAGCTATTTGCCTATGGAACCCCATGGTGCATTCTCCAATGAGAACACATTTGCATTTCCTACAGGGGACTATAAACAGTGATCAAGAGCAGGAGATAGTAGGAACTGCCGATGCTGGAGAATCTGAGATAACACGGTGTAGAGCTGGATGAACAGAGCAGGCCAAGCAGCATCAGAGGAGCAGGAAAGCTGAAGTTTCGGGTCGAGACCCTTCTTCAGAAATGGGGGAGGGGAAGGGGATTCTGAAATAAATAGGGAGAGAGGGGGAGGCGGATAAAAGATGGATAGAGGAGAAGATAGGTGGAGAGGAGACAGACAGGTCAAAGAGGCGGGGTTGGAGCCAGTAAAGGTGAATGTAGGTGGGGAGTTAGGGAGGGGATAGGTCGGTCCAGGGAGGACGGATAGGTCAAGAAGGCAGGATGAGGTTAGTGGGTAGGAGACGGGGGTGGGGCTTGAGTTGGGAGGAGGGGATAGGTGGGAGGAAGGGCAGGTTAGGGAGGCAGGGACGAGCTGGGCTGGTTTTGGGATGCGGTCGGGGGAGGGGAGATTTTGAAGCTTGTGAAGTCCACATTGATACCCTTGGGCTGCAGGGTTCCCAAGCGAAATATGAGATGCTGTTCCTGCAGCTTTCGGGTGGCATCATTGTGGCAATGCAATAGGCCCAGGATGGACATGTCGTCCAAGGAGTGGGAGGGGGATTTGAAATGGTTCGTGACCGGGAGGTGTAGTTGTTTGTTGCGAACTGAGCGTAGGTGTGCAGGAAGGTGGGTGAGAGGAGGTGTATTCTAGGTAGCTGTGGGAGTCCGTAGGCTTGAAATGGATTATTGCGGGTAGAATAACAACCAAAACAGAATCCCCCTCGTCCTCACGTACCACCCCACCAACCTCTGAATCCAACGCATCATCCTCCAACACTTCGGCCATCTGCAATCTGACCTCACTATGAAAGACATTTTTCCTTCCCCACCATTATCTGCTTTCCAGAGGGACCACTCTCTCCGTGACTCCCTTGTCCGTTCCACACTCCCCTCCAGCCCCATCACACCCGGCACTTTTCCCTGAAACTGCAGGAAGTGCTACACCTGCCCCTACACCTCCCCCCTCACTCCCATCCCCATCCCTGGCCCTAAGAAGACCTTCCACATCAAACAGATGTTCACCTGCACATCTGCTAATGTGGTATACTGTATCCGCTGTTCCCGTTGTGGCCTCCTCTACATCAGGGAAACCAAGCGGAGGCTTGGGGACCGCTTTGCGGAACACCTATGCTCAGTTCGCAACAAACAACTACACCTCCCAGTCACGAACCATTTCAACTCCCCCTCCCATTCCTTAGACGACATGTCCATCCTGGGCCTCCTGCAGTGCCACAACGATGCCACCTGAAGGTTGCAGGAACAGCACCTCATATTTCGCTTGGGAACCCTGCAGCCCAAGGGTATGAATGTGGACTTCACAAGCTTCAAAATCTCCCCTCCCTCGACCGCATCCCAAAACCAGCCCAGCTCGTCCCCGCCTCCCTAACCTGTTCTTCCTCCCACCTATCCCCTCCTCCCACCTCAAGCCCCACCCCCATCTCCTACCTACTAGCCTCATCCCGCCCCCTTGACCTGTCCGTCCTTCCTGGACCGACCTATCCCCTCCCTAACTCCCCACCTACACTCACCTTTATTGGCTCCAACCCCGCCTCTTTGACCTGTCTGTCTCGTCTCCACCTATCTTCTCCTCTATCCATCTTCTATCCGCCTCCCCCTCTCTCCCTATTTATTTCAGAAGCCCCTTCCCCTCCCCCATTTCTGAAGAAGGGTCTCGACCCGAAACGTCAGCTTTCCTGCTCCTCTGATGCGCTTGGTCTGCTGTGTTCATCCAGCTCCACACCTTGTTATCAAGAGCAGGAATCCTGTTTGATTCCTTTTAGTAGCTTAAAGATTGAGGATAGTATTAAAATCCCGAATATCATGTTACATATCAACCCAATACAGACTGGCAATTAAGCTCTTGACTTTTTCTGGACAGTTTTCTACTGCGGAAACCAGCTGTTGCACTGGGTACTGAACCATTAATTTAAAAATTGAAAAAAAACTGTGCATGCTGGTAATCAGGAACAAAGACATAATTGCTGCAAAAACTCAGCAGGTCTAGCAGCATCTGCGGAGAAAAAGCAGAATTAACGTTTTGTGTCCAGTGACCCTGCTTCAGACCCTTCTCAAAAATATTGGTTATATGAATCAATCAGAACCATGACAATAGAAGGGCATTCCTCAGGAGGATGTTTACAGGATTGGTCCAGGCAGATTTTTCTTGAAAATTTCTCCTCTATCTGTATGGTGTCCCATCCTGACATCTGTTACACTACATTTCAGTTAAAGAATAAAAACAGAAAATGCTGGAGAAACACATTTTGAGTCCGTTATGATAACTCCTTGGAGCCTAGTGTGGACTCCTAACTTTAACTCTCTTCATCTTATTACAGATGCTGCCAGACCTGCTGAGTTTCTCCAATGCTTTCTGCTTTTATTTTAGATTTCTAGCATCTGCAGCATTTTATTTTTATTTAATCAATTAATGAATATTGATTTCTCAAATAATGTATGTTATTCTCCATCCCAAACGATACTTACTACTTCTGAATGTAGATTACATTACATATACTTTAGAAGAAGTTTTCTACTAATGTTCAGTCTACAAAAGATTTTACCATATGTAGACCCTTGAAGGGAGACTATTTAGCTGAGGCACAGAACATAGAGCAGGGAATTTATGCTGGGGCTCTATAAATCGTTTGTTAGGCCATGACTTGAGAATTGTGTCTGGCTCTGCTCATCTCATTGTAGAAAGGATGTGGCACAAGAAAAAGGAAAGTACCATAGGGGTTACAAAGGAGATTTACAAGGATGTTGCCAGAACTAGAAAACTGCAGATATGAGGAAAGATTGGGTAGGCTGGAATTATTTTCAATTGGAACAGAGGAGGATGAGGGGAAATTTGTTTGAAATATACAAGGCTGTGAGGAGCGTGGAATACATGGACGGGAAGATTAAGTCTCCTAGTGGAGAGATCAGTGAACAGGAAGCTTCAATTCAAAATTATTGTTATAAGGATTAGAAGGGAGATGAGCAAACCATTTCTCACCCAGATGGTGAGAGTTTGGGATTCACTGCCTGAAAGGGACTAGAGGCAAAACCTTTGACTCATTCAAAAGGGGTCTTGATATGCTTCTCAGTGCCATAACTTGCAGGGGTGTGGACCAAATGCTGGAAGTGGAAGAAGTTGGGCTCATTTTTTAAGCGTACAGATAGGGTGGGCCATGTGGTCCCTTTCTGTGCTGTAAACTTTCTCTGGTTTCAGGGAAATGATACAAAGGCATGTAAAACATAATTTAATAAAAACCGAAAAAACTGCGTGTGCTGTAAATCAGGAACAAAAACAAAGTTGCTGGAAAAGCTCAGCAGGTCTGGCAACCAGTTCTGAGGAAGGGTCACTGGACCCAAAACCTTAACTCTGTTTTATCCTTCACAGACTTTACCCAGTTCTGAGGAAGGGTCACTGGACCCAAAACCTTAACTCTGTTTTATCCTTCACAGACTTTACCTCTGTTTTTTCCTTCACAGATGCTGCCAGACCTGCTGAGCTTTTCCAGCAACTTTGTTTTTGTAAAACATAATTTAATTAGGAATGCTATCATCTTCATTCTTGCTGTAGTCTTGAGTCTTAAACAGAACAAACACATTTATCCTTCTTCACTAAAGGTGAGTAGAACATTCATAATGTTACCTATTTGCTGAAGATCATCATTTGTGATCAAGAAAACTCCACTGGACCTAATCTTGGATTTTTTTAAAAGACGTACCATAAACCTGAACTTCATCCATCTTTTCAGCATTTACAAAAGTTGCTGCTAAATTAAAGAATAGATCCTTGAAGGCTGCAGAGCAGATAGCTAAAGCAGTTAAGAAGGCATATGGCATAACTGTCTTTATCAGTCAAGGCACTGAATACAATTGCAAGGAGGTTATGATACAGTGAATATAACATTGGTTAGGCTGTAGCTGGAGTGCTGGGTGTAGTTCTGGTCATCGCACTATAGGAAGGATGTGATTGCCCTAGAGAGGGTGCAGAGGAGATTCACCAGGATGTTGCTGGGCTGGAGCTATTCTGCTATGAAGAGAAACTAGATTGACTGGGGTTATTTTCCTTGGAGTAGAGAAGGCGGAGGGGGATCTGATTGAGGTGTATGAAATTTTGAGGAGCATAGAGAGGGTATATTGCGAGAAATCTTTCCCCTTAGTGGAGGGGACATAGTTTTAAGGCAAGGAGCAGGAGGTTTAGAAGGGCTTTGAGAAAAATGTTTTTCACCCAGAGGGTATGGTATCTGAAACTCAATGCCTAAAAGCCTGAGGCCAGAACCCTCAAAAATGATCGGTTATTGAAAATGAGCCACAGTATACAAGGCTATCGGCCAAGTGATGGAAAATGGGATTAGAATAGATGGCTGAAGGGCCTTTTTCTGTACTGTAAGAACTCAATGACTCTAACTAGCTATTACTGGGGAATTGGTGGCATAGTGTAAATGTCAATAGACTAGAAATCTAGAAGCTCAAATAAATATCATGAAGATGTGAGTTCAAATCCCACCATGGCATTAGAATAATAAAGTCTGCAATATAAAGCAGGTCTTTATAATGGTACGATAAAACTACCATGAATTTTCAAAAAACCCCATCATATTCAGTAATGTCCTTCAGGGAAGGAAATCTGCCATCCTCACCATGTCTGGCCTGAGTGCCTTCAGATTGACAGCAATGGAGCTGACTGTTAACTGCTCTCTGAAATGACTGAGCAAGCATTTCAAGGTAATTAGGGATGAGCAATAAATTCTGGCATTATTGGTGATGATGGCACTGTCTTCATACTTAGGGGCATAGAGTCATACGGCACGGAACAGACCCTTCGAACCAATTCATCCATACCGGCCAAGTTTCCTAAACCAAACTAATCCCACTTGCTTGCATTTGGCCCATATTCCTCCAAACCTCTCCTATCAATGTACCTGTCCAAATGTCTTTTAAACATTGTAACTGTACCTGCATCCACCACTTCCTCTGGTAGTTGATTCCACATACGAACCACCCCTATGTGAAAAAATTGCCCCTCAGGTCCCTGTTAAATCTTTCTCCCCTCACCTTAAAAATATGCTCCCCTGATACAGATCTATCTGTATCCCAACCCTAGGAAAAAGACCTTTGATATTTACTTTATCTATGCTCCCTCATGATTTTATAAACATCTATAAGGTCACCCCCCAACCTTCTATATTCCAGTAAAAAAATCCCAGCCTATCTGCCTCTCCTTATAACTCAAACTCTGGCAATATCCTGGTATGTCTTTTCTGAACCCTCTCCAATTTAATAATATCCTTCCTGTAGCAGGGTGACCAGAACTATTCACAGTACTCCAAAAGTAGCCTCACCAAGTCCCTGTGCAGCCTCAACATGACATCCCAACTCCTATACTTAGTGGTCTGAACAATGAAGGCAGGTGTACTAAACACCTTCTTAACCACGCTGTCTACCTGTGACACAACTTTAAAAGAACTACATACCTGAATCCCTAGGTCTCTCTGTTCAACAATACTACCTAGGGCCCTACAATTTACTGTATAAGTCCTGCCCTAGCTTGGAAGCAAACAGTTCTGCTTTCTCCATCAGAGACTTCTCATTCTCCCATCTTCTCTGCCTCCATCCTTCAAAACCTCAATGCCTTTCCTCCTTTCCTTCCTTCATATCTACCCTCCATCCTTCTACCAGATAAATAACATTTACATTGACAGACAATACTTTACCAGAGATGTAAAGATGTAATGATAGTAGGCAGATGTCATTCCTAACTCCATGGCCTGGAAAACAAGATATTATGAATACACATTTTACAAACTCTCCTTTAAATGCAGTTTTCTCTAATTTAAAACCATGTCACAGATGCACCCACTGCACAAAGGAGAACATTCAACCACATTGAGTCCCTCGCGGTTCCCAGTAGAGAAATGTGGTCCTCCTCCTTTCCCCTGCTGCTCAATCCCCTTGACCCTGAAAGTTTATGTGCTTCAAACAAGGGGTCATATAATTGCCTCTGCTTCCATTATCCTCACGGGTAGAAAGTTCCAGCTCATTACCACTTGCTGTATAAAAGAAGTTCATCCTCACATTCCCCTCAACTCTTGCCCAAAATCTTAAACCCGTGTCTTCTTGTCTTTGTACCATCAGTAAGCATAAGGCTGGAATCTGCATGTGTAGAGTTAACAGGCATAAGTGGACTGCAGTCAGGATTAGGGGCAAGGATAGCTTATGTGCCATCTCACCCAAAGGGTAAAGTGATCAATGAGTTTGATACATCAGGGCTCAGGTAAGTGCTCTGATGTGAGCTTTCAGGAAAACGCTGATGACATATATATATTGAGATAGGTTTGTACTGCAGAGCCTTCAGTCACTAAGATGGAATATAGAGGAATCCAGCTCCAATGCAGCACAGTATCATGCAGAGCTGAAAGCCATTCTCTCCGGCACAGAGGTGGTGATTAGCACTGCTAGCAGATCCAGCTGCATTTGCCATCCAGTGCTTCAGTGGTCCAGTGAAAACTCATACAAGTGTAAAGTGATTCATGCTTGCTCCAATGAAGGCTCAGACTGTGAGCACTGAGACTTGCAGCCATGCTCAAAGTGCTTAGCTTCCTCTTACTGAAGTAACAATCTGTACTACAGCAGATTATTACGATTGCCCCAGGATTTGGCTGTGGGGCTCCATGGAATATGAACTTGCTGTTCTCTAAATATAACAGCATTCAAGCTCCCACCATTGCTACATCACCAGAGCCTGTTTAGACTGCTGAAAGTTCAAGCTGTGGGAGGAGATGATGCAGATGAACTGGAGCCATGGTGTGTATAAACGGAGATTTAGCCAGTAACAAGCAGATGGCAGAGAATAACTGGTCACTGTGAATTGGTTCTGAGGAAGCTGTACAGGTTGGGCTTTAAAAGAACTAGGGAGAAGCCTCAGATCCCTATCAGTTCAGGAGCAGTCTCTCTGTTGTCTATAGTAAAAACTTTAAGCCTAAAGAAAACCAGTTTACCTTTTCTTCAGCAGTTACTGTAGGATGTGACATTTAATTAATAAGTCAAAGACTTTTTATAAGTCAATCTAAGCCTCCTGCAAACAAGTGAAAGCATCTTGAAAAGTAGTGCTCTGACCAGCACAAGAACTATCTCAGCCATGCACCACTGAACTATTTTCCCAGTTTTTCCCTTTACCCATAACGTTCACGTATTTCAGTTTTAACTGTTCATATCTGTCTCTGTGCGGTGAAAAGTTTATAACTGGGTTAGAATTGTAATTAGTAGAGTTGTATGCTGACAGTTCATAATTGTTTACCTGTAGCTGGAGTCTAATTACTTGTAATAAATAGTAATTTTTGCTTAATACAGAAACCTGGTGTGTGCTTTTTGTCAACTTGGGTCTAAAAGGGGAATTCCGCGTACTTTTTAAAATCTTTAACTTTTGCGACACCTGCAGGAATAGCAGGGCTTGATTTCCAGTGCATTATCCCAGTGAGATGTGATAGTGTACTGGAGGGCTCCCTTGTAGTCCAGTCAGTAGAAACATACTATAGCTCCCCAATGCTCCAATCCTCAATGGCTCTGAATGCTGACAGTGAATTGCACAGAGCTTATGACAAATTAGCCATAATGGCTGATTGATGTTACTATTAAATCTCTCCTGACATTTTTGAAATAAACAGAACACAACTGTGCTCATATCCCTCCAAGATGGTCGTTTCAACTGCTATTTCGACATAAAGGATAAGGTTTGTTCACTTTTACTGAGACAGCAACAGGCAAAAACAAGGGGACAATTACTTTGCTTGGGATGTACTACAACTTCAAAACAGTTAGGGAGAGATGGGAAAAAATGAGCAAAGAACTGTGGATGGTGGAAATCAGAAGCAAAAACAGAAATTGCTGGAAAAAACTCAGCAGGTCTGGCAGCATTGAACTCCTATGTATAGAAACAAGCCATTCAGACCATTGAGTTCACACAGAGCCTCTGAAGAGCATCCCACCCAGACACACACCCCTACCCTATAATCCTGCATTTCCCATGCCAGTCCACCTAGCCTACACATCCTTGGGCTGTGGGAGGAAGCCAGAGAACCTGGAGAAAACCCACGCAGACAGGGGGAGAATGTGCAGACGCCACACAGACAATGACGTGAGGGTGGAATTGAACCCAGGTCCTTGGCATTGTGAAGCAGCAGTGCTAACCACTTAGCCATTGCCCTGTGGTGAGAAGGCAGAGTTAATATTTTAGGTCCAGTGACCCTTCTTCAAAGAGAGATAGTAAGATAAGATGTATGCAAATCTCAGAGAATTATAAAAATAGGGTAATAATAGCAAGGGATTTCAACTTCCTCAATTTTAACTGGGATTGACAAAGTGTGACAGGTTTAGAAGAGGTGTAGGTTTAAAACAAGCCAGTATGTAGAAAGTTTTACAAGAGAGGGGGTGATGCTGGACCTAATTTTAGGGAACAAAGCTGGGCAAATTGTAGATGTGGCAGGTAAGGGGAGCATTTTGGTGATAGTGACTATAATTCAATGAGATTTAAGATAATTATGGATAAGGACAAGTATGGATCAGAAAATAAAGGTTCTGAACTAGGGAAAAAGTGATCTTAATAAGACAGGACCCGGCCATGGTGGACTGGTACCAGCTACTTGCACATCAGAGCAGTAGGAGTCATTCAAAAGGTTTATCGTGAGCACGCAGTACCAAGATGTTCCAGTAAAGGTGAAGGGTGGCACCAAGAAGTGCTGAGAATCGTGGCTGTCAAGGGATATACAGGATTGCATAAGAAAGGTGTAGAGGGTTACTAAAAAAAGCATAATTAGGAAGGTTACCTAAAAAAGAATTAGGAGAGAGAAAATGGGACACGTAAAACACTGGCAAGAAAATCTGAAGGCCTTTTATAAGTATATTAGGGGCAATAGAATTACCAGGGAAACAGTAGGGTCCATTATGGACCAAAGTGACAATCTGTGTGTGGAGCCAGCAATCATAGCTGAGATTTTAATTAAGTAGGGGCTGGAAAAGTATAGCAGGTGAGACAGCATCCAAGGAGCAGGCAAGTCAACGTTTTGGGGCGAAACCCTTCATCAGGACTGTTTTGGGCTGAAACCTTGATTTACCTGCTTCTTAGATGCTGTCTGATGTGCTGTGCTTTTCCAGCCTCATAACTATAGACTCTGGCTTCCAGCATCTGCAGTCCTTATTGTCTCCAAGTCTTTTAAATAAGTAGTTTGTGTCTGCATACACTGTAGAAAAGGATGACAAAGGTAAAGAAATCAGGGAGGGGGATCTGTGATATACTTGGCACAATTAGCACAGAGAAAGAGAAAAGGCATTAGCAGTTTTAACAGGCTTGAATTTGGATAAAGCACCAAGCTCATATTAGATGCATCCAAAGACGTTGTGGGAGGCAAGACCTTCTCAAGGACAACTCGGGACAGGCAATAAATGCTGGCCAGCCAGTGACTCCCACATCCCACAAAATATACAAATAAATAAAGGAGATTTCAGGCCCTCTGACATTAATTTTCAAATCCTCGTTGGCCACAGGAGGGTTGCCACAGGACTGGAGGATAGCCAATCTGGTACCATTATTCAAGAAGGGTGGTCAGGATACACCAGGAAAGTACAGGCCAGTGATTCTACAATCTATGGTAGGGAAAGTACTGGAAAAAAAACTCTGAGGAACAGAATTAATCTCCACTTGGAGAGTCAAGGATTAATCAAAGATAGTCAGCATGGCTTTGTCAGGGTGTGTTCAGGTTTGGACGGCTATGTTCCAAGTGCAGGCAGGTGGGACTAGTTTAGTTTAGGAACATAGTTGGACTGAAGGTTTTGTTTCCATGCTGTATGACTCTATGACTCTATAACAAGGAAAAATATCTTATAGTACAGATAGTGACTGGTTAGTCAGATGCTGAACAGTGGCAAATGTCAACTGAAAAGTGCGAGGTGATGCATTTTGGAGGACTATCAAGGCAAAGGAGTACACATTGAATGTGGCACTCTAGAAAGTACAGCAGATCAGATGGTCCTTGTTGTGCATGCCCATAGATCGTTGAATGCAGCAGGACAGGTAGATAGATAGTTAAGAAACCATATGGGGTACTTACTTTTATTAGTCAAGGCATTGAGTATAAAGGCAGGGAGATTGTTATGGAGCTGTATATAACATTAGAGAGGCAACAGCTGGAGTATTCTCTGCAGTTCTAGTCACTACACTATTGGAGGGATGTGACTGCACTAGAGACAGGGTGCAGAGGAGACTCACCAGGATGGAGCCTGGCTGGAGCAATTTAATAATAAAGAGGAACAAATAGGTTGTGGTTGTTTTCCTTAGAGCAGAGAAGGGGGACCTGTTAAAGGTGTACAAAGCTCCAAGGGGCATGGACAGGACAGATAGGAAGAGACCTTTGCCCTTAGTAGAGTGATAGTCATATAGCACAGAAACAGACCCTTAGGTCTAACTAGTCCATGCTGACCACAATCCCAAACTAAAGTAGTCCCACCTGCATGTGCTTGGCCCATATCCCTCCAAACATTTCTTATTTATGTTCTTATCTAAATGTCTTTTAAATATTGTAACTGTACCCACATCCACCACTTCTTCAGGAAGTTCATTCCTCACACAAACCCCTTTCTGTGTAAAAAGAATTGCCCCTCATGTCTTTTTAAATCTTTCTCCTCTCATGTTAAAGATATGGCCTCTAATCTTGAAATCTCCCACTCTAGGGAAAAGATACCTGCCATTCACCTAATCTGTATCCCTCATGATTTTATAAACCTCTATAAGGTCGCCCCCTCAACCTCCTATGCTCCAGTGAAAATCTTCCAGCCTATCCAGCCCCTCCTTATAACTCAAACCCTACATTCCCAGCAACATCCTGGTAAATCTCTTCTGAACCTTCTCCAGTTTAATAACGTCCTTCCTTTAACAGGGTGACCAGAACTGGACCTAGTACTCCAGAAGAGGCCTCACCAATGTCTTGTACAACCTCAACATAACGTTCAACTTCTATACTCAAAGGTCTGAGCAATGAAGGCATGCATGCCAAATGCTTTCTTAACCACCCTATTTACATGTGATGCAAACTTCAAAGAATTACGTACCTGAACCCCTAGGTCTCTCTATTCTACAATAGTCCAAGGTCCTAATTTTAATTGTTTGTTTTGCCAAAATGCAATAGCTTGCATTTATCCAAATTAAACTCCAAATGTCACTCTTTAGCCCATTGATCCATTTCATCAAGATTTCTTTGTAATCTTTGATAACCTTCTTCACTGTCCATTATACAATCAATCTTAGTGTCATGCACAAACTTACTAACCATGCCTTCTATATTCTCATCTAAATCATTTGTATAAATGAGAAACAAAAGTTGACCCAGCACCGGTCCCAATGGAACACTGCTGATCACAAACCTCCAGTCCGAAAAACAACCCTCCACCATCACTCTCTGTCTCCTGTCATTAATGTGGAGGTGCCGGTGTTGGACTGGGGTGGTCAAAGTCAGAAGTCACACGACTCCAGGTTATAGTCCAACAGGTTTATTTGGAATCACACAAGTTTTCGAAGTGCAGCCTCTTCGTCAGGTGCAGTGGTGTGACCCATTGATCTCTTACTTATTAATTTTGCGTCTGATACTACCTCACTCATTAACACCTGACGAAGGAGTAAGACTCAGAAAGCTTGTGTTTTCAAATAAACCTGTTGGACTATAACCTGGTATCGTGTCATTTCTGTCCTTGTCTAACCCAGTCCAACACCGGCACTTCCACATCATGCCTGCACTCTTTATACTTTCACTCCCTCTATTGTTTTGGGGCAGGCGATAGTCTAACGGCATTATTGCTGGACCGTCAACCTAGAGACGTAGGTAATGTTCAGGGGATCCAAGATTGAATCCCACCACAGCAGGTGGCGAAATTAAAATTCAATTAAAAAATCTGGAATTTAGAGTCCTAACAATGACCATGAATCCATTGTCAATAGTTGGAAAAACCCATCTGGTTCACTAATGTGCATTTAGGGAAGGAAACTGCCATCCTAACTGGTCTGGCCTACACGTGATTCCAGACCCACAGCAATGTGGTTGACTCTTAACTGCCCTCTGGGCAATTAGGGATGGGCAATAAATGCTGCCTAGCAGAGATGCCCTCATTCCATGAATGAATTTTAAAAAAGGAGATTCATTTGAACCCAGTTGTCTATATCTAATATACAATTCCTTTTTATTCTTCACGTGAATCTCAATATCTTCATTCATACAATGTTCTCTAATCCTACCAACCTTCCCTTTCACTCTAACAGGATCATAGTGACTCTGAACATGTTATTTTACCTTTGAAAGACTCCCACTTATCAGATGTCCCTTTACCTGCAAACAGTGTAATCCAATCAGTTTTTGAAAGTTCTGGACTCCTACTATTAAAATTTGCCTTACTCCAGTTAAAAGCTTTAATTTTTATGGAGGCTTATCTTTTTCCATAACTATTTTAAAACAAATCGAATTATGATCACTAGACCCAAAGTGTTAGCCTACTATCACTTCAGTAACTTGTCCTGTCTTATTACCCGAGAGAAGGTCAAATGTTGCTCCTTCTCTAGTCGGAACGTTTACATATTCATATAGAAAATTTTCTTGAACACACGTAACAAATTCTTCACTGTCCAAACCTTTAACACCACAGTAGTCCCAGTCTATGTTTGGAAAATTATAATCACCTATTATTACAATCTTATTATTCTTACATATATCTGAGATCTCTATACATATTTGTTCCTCAATTTCCCTCTGACTATTGGGGGAGGAGTCTATAGTACAATCCCATCAAGGTGATCATTCCTTTTTCATTTCTAATTTCAACCCATATATTTTCACTGGATGATTTTTCAGAAATATCTTCCCTAGCTACAGCAGTAATGTTTTCCTTAGTCAAAAACACCGCTCCTATTCCTCTTTTGCTTCTTTTTCTATCCTTCCTACAGCAACTGAAACCCAGAACATTGAGCTGCAGTTCTGTCTGTCCCTCAGCCAAGTTTCCATAATGGCTATGACGTCCCAATCCCATGTTCCCAAAGGGGTCAATAACCAGGGCACAGTTTTAAGGATGAAGGACGTTGAAGGGGATTTCAGGCCTTTTGTTTTCACCCAGAGGGTTCATACTCATTGCCTGCAAGGGTGATAGAGGCAAGAATCCTTAAGCATATAAGAACTATTTGGCCGAGCACTTCAGAAACAGGGGAATTTATAATGGGGAACAAAGACGGCAGAGCAATTAAATACTTTAGTATATCTTCATGAAGGAAGACACAAATAGCATCCCAAAAATATAGGGGAGCACAGTGTCTAAATGGAAAGAGGAACTGAACAAATTTCATATTAGTACAGAAATGGTATTGGGGAAACTCAAGAAAGTGAAGGCAGGTAAGTCCCCAGGGCATGATAACATTCATCCCAGAGTAATTAGGAAGTGGTCCTCAAAATAGACAATATGCTAATGCTTATCTTCCACAATTCTACAGATTCAAACAGTTCCTATGGATTGGGGGGTGGCTAATACAAATCCACTATTTAAGAAGGGAGGCAAAGAGAGAACAGAATTATAGTCTGGTTACCCTGACATCAGTAATGGGGAAAAGATAGAGTCCATTGTAAAAGATGCAATAGCAGAGCACTTGGAAGATATTAACAGGATCAGATAGATTCAGCATGGATTTATGAAACAGAAATCATGCTTGACAAATCTGCTGGAACTTTTCAAGGATCTAGCTAGTAGAGTGGATAAGGGGAAACCAGTAGGCATGGTTCACTTGGATTTTCAGAACGGCTTTTGATAAACTCTTACATACAAAATTAGCATGTAAAATTAAAGCGCATGGAATTGGAAGTCTTGCACTGACATGGATTGAGAACTGGTTGGCAGTCAGGAAACAAAGAGCATGAATAAACAAAAACCGAAAGAACTGTGGATGCTGTAAATCAGGAACAAAAACAAAGTTGCTGGAAAAGGTCAGCAGGTCTGGCAGCATCTGTGAAGGAGAAAACAGAGTTAATGTTTTGGGTCCGGTGACCCTTCCTTAGAACCTGAATAAACAGGAATAAACAGGTCATTTTCCAAGTGGTAATCCGTGACAAGTGGGGTTCTGCAAGCATGAGTACTTGGACCTCACCTCTTCACAATATGTATTAATTGTTTGGACGAGGAAATTACATATATTTTCAATTTTGCAAGTGACACAAAACTGGGTGGAAGGCTATGCTGTGAGGAGGATGCAGAGAAGCTTCAGTGTGATTTAGGCAAGTTAAATAAGTGGGAAAATGCACGGCATGCAGTTATAATGTGGATAAAAGTGAGGTTATTCATTTTGGTAGCAAAAATAGAAAGGCAGATGGTATGTTGGCCTTCATGGCGAGAGGATTCAAGTACAGGAGCAAGGATGTCTTGCTGCAATTGTACTGGAGATTAGTGAGGCTGCACCTGGAGTATTATATGTAGTTTTGTTCTCCTTATCCGAGGAAGAATATACTGGCAATGGAAGGAGTGCAATGAAGGTTCACCAGGCTGATTCCTAGGATGGCAGGACTGATGTATAAAGAGAAACTGGATTGGTTACGACTATATTCACTGGAGTTTAAAAGAATGAGGGTGGATTTCAAATAAACCCATCAAATTCTAATAGGACTAGATAGGGTATACACAGGGAGGACATTTCTGACGGTGGGAGAGTCCAGAACCAGGGTTCTCAGTCCAAGGATATGGGATTGGCTATTTAGGTCATAGATGATGAGAAATTTCTTCATCGAGAAAGTGGCGAGCATGATGGAATTCTCTGCCACAGGGAGCTGTTGAGTCCAAACACTGAAGATTCTCAAGTTCTGAGGAAGGGTCACTCGATCTGAAACGTTAATTCTGATTTCTCTGTACAGATGCTGCCAGACCTGTTGAGCTTTTCCAGCTATTTCTGTTTCTGTTACTTTCAAAAAGGACGTAAATATAGCTCTTAGGATTAAACTGACAAAATCAGAACTGATTGGAGGATCAGTCATGACCATACTGAATGGAGGAGCAGGCTTGAAAAGCCAAATGGCTTACTCCTGCTGCTAAACTCTATGTTTCTATTTTTCCAAATGCTTGAAAATGGGATTAGAATAGATGGATGTTTGATGACTGACACAGACATGATGGGCTTCTTTGCCTGCTGCAAAAATTCTACAACTATGACATTCTCTAGAAACTGGATAACCCAGCTTGCCGGGCTGTCAGGTTTGTTGAATGGAAAGGGTTACTTTGAAGTGTGTGGGGATGGAGGGTTGGGGTGGGGCAGGGGAATCTGATTCTGAAGAGTTATGAAATTTCGTTTCATATGATAATGCTGTAAACATCTTATCACTGCCTTTCAGCATCGACTTGTTAATATATTGAACTGTATGAAATGGCAACATTCTGCAGTCTTATTACAGAAATGAATGAATAATCAATCTAAACAACTCAATTGGAACAATTAAGCTATTTATCTGGGCCTTTCATTGACTATTAAAATTCTTGATGGTCACAGTCTAGAGACTTTAACACTGAGCGTACCTTGTGAAGGATGGATTGTGACGTTGAAGTGCTGGCATCAATAATTATTGTTGCAATTTTATCATCTCGAATTTCCTTCAAAACTGGTGTAGAATCCTGACTTTGGTCCAGCATTCGCACTGACAAAGTGTCCTTGGAAATGAGAAATTGGCGTAATAGCTTCTCCAAATTCAAGAGGCCTGCAACAAAATCAGGGAGCAAGAGAATGTTTTCAGAATAAATCAATATGTACAGCCATGCATAAATTAAATTGGAATGAGATTTTTTTCTGTGTTTCTTGGGAGGGAGTTTTATTTTCAATGGTGTAAATACCCAAGTCATATGCTGAATTTGTATAAAGCTTTGGTCAGACCACAACCTGATGGTTGCACCCAATTCTTTTTACACAATTTTAGGGAAGATGTGAAGGACCTAGAGAAGGGCAGAGGAAATAAACTAGGGATGAGAGAATTTATCTGCAAAGGTTAATTGGATAAGCTGAATAAAAACCAAAAGAACTGCGGATGCTGTAAATCAGGAACAAAAACAGAAGTTGCTGGAAAAACTCAGCAGGTCTGGCAGCATTTGTGAAGAGAAAAATCAGAGTTAACATTTCAGGTCCAGTGACCTGCTGAGCTTTTCCAGCAACTTTTGTTTTTGTTGTGAACTGGATAAGCTGGCTTTCTTCTCCTTGGAGCACAGGAAATTAAGGGTTGATTTGATCACGGTGTAACGATTCTGAGTTTTAGATAAATTGCTCCATTGACTGATGGTACGAGAAATAGGCGACACAGATTTAAGGTTTGGAGGTAGAGATTGGAGGGGATTGAACATAGAACATAGAACAGTACAGCACAGGAATGGGCCCTTTAGCCCACGATGTTGTGCCAAATACGATGCTAAATTAAACTGATCCCTTCTGCATGCTCTTGATCCATATCCTTCCATTCTTTATATACTTATGTGCTTATCTAAAAATCCTTAAACTCTCCTGTTGTATTTGCTTCCACCACCACCCCTGGCAGCATATTCCAGATTCTACCACTCTGTGTAAAAAACTTGCCTCCACATCTCCTTTGAACTTTTCCCCCCTCTCACCTTAAATGTATGTCCCCCAGTATTAGACATGTCAACTCTGGGGAAAAGATTCTGACCATCAACCCTATCCATGCATCTCATAATGTTATAGACTTCTATCAAGTCTCCCCTCAGCCTCCGCCACTCCACAGAAAACAACCCGAGTTTTTCTAGCCTCTCCTTATACCTTATTTCCTCTAATCCAGGCAGCATCCTGGTAAACCTCTTCAGCACCCTGTCCAAACCCTCCACATCCTTCCTGTAATGTGGTGACTAGATTGAACACAATACTCTAGTGTGGCCTAACCAAAGTTTTATAAAGCTGCAACATGACTTCCTGACTCTTGTACTCAGTTCCCCAACCAACAAAGGCAAGCATGCCATATGCCTTCTTTACCACCCTATCTACTTGTGAAGTCACTTTCAGGGAGCTATAGACTTGACACCAAGATCCCTGTGTTCATTAATGCTGTTCAGGGTCTTTCCATTAACTGTATACTTTTCCTGAACATTTGATCTCCCAAAGTACAGATCAGTGTGAGGTGTTGCACTTTGAAAAGTCAAATCAAGGTAGGATTTATACAGTAAATGATAAAGTCCTGGGGAGTGTTGTGGAACAGAGGGACCTAGGAGTAAAAGTACATAGTTAATTGAAAGCAGCATAACAGGTGGACAGGTGGTGAAGAAGGCATGTAGCATGCTGGCCTTCATTGGTCAAGGCATTGAGTCGGGAGTTGGGACATTATGTTACAGTTGTATAAGTCGTTGATGAGACTACACACAGAAGACTGTGTACAGTTTTGGTCACGCTATTATAGGAAAGACATAGTTAAACTGGAAAGTGTGCCAAGAAGATTTACAAAGATGTTGCCAGGACTAGTAGGCCCGAGTTATGGGGAGAAGTTGGCCAGGGTAGGACTTTATTCCTTGGAACATACGAGAATGAGGGGTGACCTTATTGTGGTGTACAAAATCATGAGGGGCATGGATAGGATGAACGCATATATTCTTTATCACCAGGGATGAGGAATTGAAAACTAGAGGGCATAGGCTTAAGGTGAGGGGGGAAAGACTTAAGAAGGACCTGAGGGGCAACTTCTTCATGCAGAGAGTGGTGCATATATGGAATGGGCTGCCAGAGAAAGTGGTTGAGGCACATACAATAGCAACATTTAAAAAACTTTTGAATAGGTACATGGATAGGAAGGGTTTAGAGGGATATGGACCAAATATGGGCAATTGGAACTAGCGGAGTGGGCACCATAGTCAGCATGGACCAGTTTAGGCTGAAGGGCCTATTTCCATGCTGTATTAATCCGTGACTCTGTAAGGTCAAAAGAGGGGATGTTCACTGATGATTACACAATATTGGGTACCATTTGAAACTCCTCAGAAGCTGAAGTAGTTCTTGTCAATATGTGGCAAGACATTGACAATATCCAGACTTGTACGAATGAATGGCAAGTAATAATTGTCTCACACAAATAATAGTAGGTCCCTCGAAAGTGTTGTCGAACAAACAGACCTGGGGGTTCAGGTATATAGTTTTTTGAAATTTGCATCAAAGGTAGACAGGGTGGTTGAGAAGGTGTTTAGCATGCTTGCCTTCATTGCTCAGATCTTTGAGTGTAGGAGTTGGGATGGCATGTTGAGGTTGTACAGACGTTGGTGAGGCCACTTTTGGCTTACTGTGTACAGTTCTGGTTGCACTGATATAGGAAGGATACTATTAAACAGGAGAGGTTTCAGAAAAAATTTACCAGATGTTGCCAGGAATGGAGGGTTTGAGATATAAAAATAGACTGGAAAGTCTGGGATGTCTTTCACTGGAGCATAGGAGGTTGAGGGGTGACCTTATTGAGGTTTATAAAATCATGACAGGCATAGATAAGGTGACTAACAAGGGTCTTTTCCCGAGGGTAGGGGAGTGCAAAACTAGTGGTGCATATTTTTAATGTGAGAGAAGAAAGATTGAAAAAGGGCATGAGGGGAAACTTCAACATAGAGAGGGTGGTTCATATGTGGAATGAAGTGCCAGAGGACGTGATAGATGTAGGTACAGTTTCAACATTCAAAAGACATTTGGATAAGTACATGAATAGGAAAGGTTTGGAGGGATATGGGCCAAATGCAGGCAGGTGGGACTAGTTTAGTTTGGGAACATAGTTGGTGTGGACTAGTTGGACCGAAGGATCTGTTTCCATGTTGTATGACTCTACGACTCTATAAGTGTTAGCAAGGACCATCTCCACCAAAAGAAACTGTAACCATTTCCTTTTTAACACTAAGTGGCATTATCATTGCTGAGTTGCCAAATATCCACCTCCTGGGAGTGACCATTGACCAAAAATTGAACCAGACCAGTAATATAAATGCCGTGGCTGCAAGAATAAGTCAAAGCCAATGAGATTATGTGGCAAATAACTAATTTCCTGGCTCGCTAAGTTGATCCTGGATATGGGGTGACTGTATTATGAGAAGTTGAGTAGTTTAGGGCCTGTACTCATTTTTGTTTAAAAGAATGAGAAGCAACCTTATGAAAATATATAATATTTTAGTGTAGATGCTGAAAGGTTCTTTTCTCACGTGGGACAGCGTAGGTCCAGGAGCCATAATCTCAGAGTAATCAGTTGCCCATTTAAGGCAAAGATGAGGAGGCATTTCTTCTCTCAGAGGATAGTGAATCTGTAGAATTCTTTACCACAGAGGGCTGTTGAGGCTGGGTTGTCACATATATTGAAGACTGAGACAAATAGATTTTCAATCAGTAAAGGAATCAAGAGTTTTGGGCAAAAGGCACGAAAGTGGAGTTGAGGATTATCTGACCAGCTATGATCTCATTGAATGGGGGAGCAGACTTTATGGGCTGAATGGCCTGCTACTGGTCCTACATCCTACAGTCTTATGAAATAATTCAGGGTTCAGAGTGGCTCTGATCATGCACTGGGGACAGTGACTAGTAAGAATTAATAAGGTTTAGTACTCCGTGGTTCATTGCGCAGGGAGTATGTTGCCATAAGATATAGGGTGACCCCAACAAGTCAGAGAACCCTGGATATCATGGGATATACAGGATTGGATAAGAAAACAAAAGGAAGCTTATGGTAGATACAAAAGGCTCTAAACAATGGATTACCAATAGTATAGAAATTGCAGGGTGTTGCTTAAAAAAGAAATTAGGAAAGCGAAAAAGGACCAGGAAAAGGACTCTGCAAGTAACATTAAGGAAAATCCAAAGGTGTTTTATAAGAGTGTTAGGAGCAACAGAATAAGTAGGGAAAGAGGAGGGCCCATTAAGAACCAAAGTGGCAATCTCTGTGTGTGGAGCTGGAAGACATAGATATATCTCAGGCTGCTGTGGAAGGCAAGGGAGGAGACTACAAAGGATCTGACTTGAATTTTCAAATCCTCTCTGGCGACATGAGGACAGCTAATGTCATACCATTATTCAAGAAGGTGATGAGGACAAATAAGGCAACTACAGGCTAGTGAATCTAACATCTATGGTAGGCAAACTACTGGAAAAATTCTGAGTGTCAGAATGAATCTCCACTTGCAGAGGCAAGAATTAACCAACAGTCATCAGAACAACTTTGACAGGGAGATTATATCAAAAAAATCTGATTGAATATTTTTGAGGAGGTCACTAGGTGTGCAGTATAGAACATAGAACAGTACAGCACAGTACAGGCCCTTCAGCCCACGATGTTGTGCCGAACTTTTACCCTAAACCTAAGGTCTATTTAACCTCCGCTGCTACCTTATACTATCATCCATATGCCTATCTAATAGCCACTTAAATGCCCCTAATGAGGCCGACTCCACTACCCTCTCCGGCAATACATTCCATGCCCCGACCACTCTCTGAGTAAAGAACCTACTTCTGACGTCTCCCCGATATCTACCTCCTTTCACTTTAAAACTACGTCCCCTTGTAAAAGCTACCTCCACCCTGGGAAAAAGTCTCTGGCTGTCCACTCTATCTATACCTCTGATCATTTTGTACACCTCTATCAAGTCACCTCTCATCCTTCGTCGTTCTAAAGAGAAAAGCCCTAGCTCTCTCAACCTTTCCTCGTAAGACCTTCCCTCTATTCCAGGCAACATCCTGGTAAATCTCCTCTGCACCTTTTCCAACGCTTCCACATCTTTCCTGTAATGAGGCGACCAGAACTGGACCCAATACTCCAGATGTGGCCGAACCAGGCTTTTGTATAGCTGGAGCATAACTTCACGGCTCTTGAACTCAATCCCTCTATTAATGAAAGCTAACACACCATACGCCTTCTTAACAACTCTATCCACCTGGGTGGCAGCTCTCAGGGAACTGTGAACATGAACCCCAAGATCCCTCTGCTCCTCCACACTGCCAAGAATCTTTCCGTTAACCCTGTATTCTGCTTTCAAGTTTGTCCTTCCAAAATGAATCACCTCACACTTTTCAGGGTTAAACTCCATCTGCCATTTCTCAGCCCAGCTCTGCATTTTATCAATGTCCCTCTGTAACCTAGAACAGCCCTCCGCGCTGTCCATAACATGACCCACCTTCGTAACGTCCGTATAGGGCAGTGCAATTGATGTAGAAACACTGAATCATAGAAAATAGGAGCATAAGTAAGCCATGTGACCTCCTGAGCCTGCTCTGCCATTTAGTATGTTCATGGTTGATCATCAAGCTCAATTCCATTATCCTGCCCTCCCACTGTATCCCTTGATCCTTTTAGCCACAAGAGCTCTATCTACCGACTTCTTGAAAACACAAAGTTTTGGCCTCAACCACTCTCTGTGATAATGAATTCCACAGGCTCACCATACTGTGGGTGAACAAATTTCTTCTCATCTCAGAGTTTACACTTTATCCTTAAACTATGATTCTAGGTTTTGAACTTAACAACCATTTGGAACATCCTTCCTGCATTTAACCTGTCTACTTCTGTTAGAATTTTATAGATTTTTAGGAGATCCCCCTCATTCTCCTAAATTCCAGTGAGTACATCCTAACTGAATCAACCTCTCTCACATGTGACTTTTGTCATCTCAGGAATCAATTTGGTATATCTTCACTACACTCCCTTCATATAGCAAGAACATCCTTCTTAAGATAAGGAGATCAAAACTACACATAATATTCCAGGTATGGCCTCATCAATACCGTGTATAATTGCAGCAAGATATCCTGCTGCTGTACTTGAATACTCTCGCTTTGAAGGCCAGCATACAGTTTGCCTTCTTTACTGCCTGTGGCACCTGTGTGTTACTTTCAGCAATTGGTGCACAAGGACGCCTAGATCTCTTTGAACATTCCCGTCTCTCAATTTACAGCCATTCAAATAATAATCTGCCTTCTTATTTTTGCTACCAAAGTGGATAACCTAACATTTATCCATATTATACTGCATCTGCCATGCATTTACCCACTCACTCAGCTTGTCCAAATCACATTGAAACATCTCTAATATCCCCCTCACAGCTCACCCTTCCACCCAGCTTTGAGTCATCTGCAAATTGAGATATTACATTTAGTTCCCTCATCTAAATCATTATATTATGAATAGCTGGGGTCTTAATACCTGCGGTATCCCACTAATCAGTGCCTGTCACTCAGAAAAAGATTCATTTATTCCCACTGTTTGTTTCCTGTCTGCTAAGCAATTTTCTATCCATTTCAATGCACTATCCCAATCCCATACACTTTAATTTTATACATTATTCTCTGATGTGGGACTTTGTTCTGACAGTCCAAATAAACCACATCCACTGCTCCCCCCATCAATTCCACTAGTTGCATCCTCAAAGAAATCCAGTAGATTTGTCAAGCATGATTTCCCTTTTGTAATTCCATGCTGACTATGTCTGCTTCTGCCACCGTTTTTTAAGTATCCTGCTATAAAATCCTTGATAATGGACCCTTGGCATCTTCCCCACTCCCGATGTCAGACTCAATGGTCTATAATCCCCTGTTTTCACTCTCGTCTCCCTTTTCAAATAGTGAGGTTACATTAACCACCCTCTAATCTGTAGGAACAGTTCCAGAGTCTAATGAATCTTGGAAAATTAACACCAATACATCCACTATTTTTAGGGCTACTTCCTTAAATCCTTAATAGATTATCAGGCTGTGGGGATTTATCAGTTTTCAATGCCATCAATTTCTCTACATTATTGCTCTAGTAATATAGATTTGTTTCAGTTTTCTCCCTGTCATTAAACCCATCATTTCTGGGACATTATTCACGTCCTTTTTTGTGAAGTCAGAAGTGAAGTATGAATTTAGTTCGTTAGCCATTTTTTTGTTTCCCATTATAAACTCCCCCATTTCTGACTGTAAGGGACCTACATTAGTTTTCACCAATCTTTTTCTCTTTACACACCTATAAGAACTTTTACAATCAGTTCTTATATTCCCCATGTAGTCTACATGCACTTCAGGAAAAGTTCATCATTGTGGAAATGAAAGCTGGCAGCAGTGTCTACCATCTAGAGTTTGCACTGCACCAATTGGCAGAGGCTCTTTCTAAAATGTCTCCCAAGCCCATCATTGTGCAACATCCTGGAATTTCCTCCTTGACAACACTTTGTGATCCACATCGATTGCAGTAGTTCATGAAGATGGCTCAACACTAACTTCTCAAAAGCAATTAGGGAGGATCGATTAATGCTGGCCTTGCCATTGATAGCCACATTCCAAGAATAAATAAAACTGATGATGCCCACTTCCAACTGGAACAGATGCATGAATGTTCAATAATTGTACATTAATTCAAAATAACTTTTTTTTGGGATGAATGCAGGCAATCAATCATGAGGGCAGAAGTGTGTCTGGATGCTGCTATTCTTTTTGATATCACAGACTGGGCTGGATTTGGAATAAAATGTAGCGCAAGATGGCTCATTTATTTATTCACTGACTGGTCAGGGAAATATGATTAGCTATTAAGGCTACAATGAGGTACAATACACTGAAAGAATTAAAACTTCATCCCCCTTTACACTTTCCACTTCAAAGCCAATTCTCAGCGGATTGAGTTCCCTCCCAGCTATGATAGTATTGCACTGATATTTACGAGGTGTCCACACACGACACCTTTACGCAATTTGAATGACTGTTTCATCCAGATGTTAGTGTTTGAGACAATGAAGATTTTTTTTTCATAAGCAATGTTTGCCTTTGCTATTCTTACATTCAGCTTTTGCACATATCAGGCATGCCATGGTTCTGTTGAAGAAGTTCAAGATGCTAGCAATAGCCAAGCTGATGTCCATGTTACTTGGGTGCAGGTTTAATGTAGTGAATCTCAAAAACTGCAATTTAGGAATTTCTTCAGCAGCTACTTTCACATGAGGTATCTGCATTGATAAAAATAGCAACATGTTACACACGTGGTAAATAAAGGGTTGTTACTTATTAGTTAATTGATCAGCTGTACTCTGTTCAGATTCCCCTGATATGTTGTGGATACACATTTAGGTGGCAGAACTTCCTGACCCTTACCCTAACCAATATGCATTAAAAACAATTGGTTAACAGAGCTAATGTTATTTTGAGCTAAAACAAATCTCTACATTTTTATAGCAAAATTATAGATTTTAGTTTATATTAAGTACATACATATACACACACATTTGATTTGTTTTTACATAAAGGAGCAATAAAGCTCATGGTTTTGATCCTATTTGAGCAGAAGCTTATTTTTTGCCAGTCACAGAGATACAGTGAATTTAAGCAGGAGGCGTGCAGCAATGAAATTTGATCAGCTTCCAAGATGCATTGTTTCCCAACTATTTCTTATAACTATAGGACAATTTTAATCTACGCCTATGGTTAAATACCCTGGCTTAACAATGGTTATTCACTGATAACATAAAACTAAAAGGAAAAGCTATTATGAGTGCAAAGTATCATAGACACCCAGCTGATTGGGAGAAATATGACAAACAGCCAAAGGATACAAAGAAAGTAGTCATAGCTGCAAAAGGAAAGAAGAAGAAAAAGCTTGCAAGTGATACTAGAGAAAGCAGCAGACAGAAAGCACATGGCTAAGGATAATGTGAATCCTGTACTGGTACTCAGGATAATAAAAAAGGAACTCGTAATCATGGTAAACGATCCTTATCCTTCAGTCAGTCTTTTACATGTTTGAGGTCATGATCCTCTTACAACATTCCTCCATTGTTCAACTGGATCAAACTCAGCTTACCAGTTTCCATTCTGAGCTAATCTAATAATAGGTAGAGCATTTCTGCAGTACATTTCTTTCCTGCTTCTTCACTGTGACATCAGGCTTCCCAAGTGTTTAATTTTTGCCTCTTACTTCTCATCTACTCAGCAACATTGTCTGAAACACATAAGTTTCCACTGGAATGTTTGCAATATCTAGCTCTACTTCAGTGACTGTCTGTCTCAATCCCTCTACAATCTCTGATATTTCATGCTGCTTGCCTAACATCTTGGATTGGATTAGCAAAAAATTTCTCCAAATAAATATTGGTAAGTCTGAGAGCTTGGTCTTTGGTCCCTGCTACAAACTCTGTTGCCTCCTCACAGACTTTAACCCTCACATTCACTGCTGTCTGAGGCTGCACCACTCCATTTACAATCTTGATGTCCTATTTATCCCCAAAGCAGGTTTCTGAACTTATATCTTCTCCATCATTTGACTGCCTACTTCCATGTCTGTAATATCTCCCACATACAAGTCTGGTTGCACCACCAAAACTTTTGACCATGTTTTTGTTACCTCCAGACTGGAATATTCCAATATTCTCTTGATGCTCTCTCCTTCATAAACTTCAACACTTTTAATCTTAATTATAATCTTGCTGTAAGTTTCATTCAGCCAATACACTCCCTTGTCTGATGACCCACACTGGCTCCGAGTATATATATGTCTGATTTTAATGTTCTCTTCCTTGTCTTCAAATTCCAGCAATGGCCTTGCTTCTTCCAATCTCTATAACCTCCTCCAGCCCACAGCCACCCAAAATTTCTGAGCTCTTCTAATTCTAGCCTCTTGAACATTTTCAATTTTCACTGTTACAGTATTCTTTAAAACCTACTCACTTGACTAACCTGTAGATTGTCTGTACTAATATCTTTTTCTGTGCCTCTGACAATGTTTTGCTTCAGGTATTTTTTTGAGGCACGTTGAGGTGTTTTTACTGTGTTGAAGGCACTATTTGAATGTAAGCTGTGGTTGCTGAAATATTTGCTTCTGTAAGGCTAATGAGGGATCAAAATCAGGAAAATGGAATTGATCTACAGATCAGCTGTCATCTAATTGGATCAAAGAACTAAACAGCCCTTTATGGAGTTGCTATTTTTCTGTGAATAATGGTATTGGAAATCATCTGTTATTACAAATACCAATGTTACCTCCTTCTCTCCGCAAATGTGGCTGATAATAGAGGCAGATGCTGGGCTTGAAGAAGGGCCCAAGATGGCTACAACCCCCTTTGGCAGAATCTGACAAGCTGCAATAGAAAGAATTTTAATTAAAAATCAGTCATCCTGATAGCACAGTCACTGACTAACTGATTACATTTCCAGGATTACCATCAGTTAAACACTGCAGAATTCTGCGTTTTCATCCTTTCAAGCGAATTCTAAAATATAATTCAATAATGGAACAATGTATCATCCCACTTTAAACTCACGACTACTTAGTACATTAACTCTTATTTCATGCTTTAAATTGATTAAAAACAATTCTTAAACTTTTACAAACATTTTTCTCCCAAATTATAATTTCCTTTTCAAAATCACATCAATTCTTCTTCCAGTTGGAAAGATGGAAATAGAATGAAGTGAATGTGGGCTCACAACAATGAATTGGTATATCAAGCATCCTGCACAAAACTGAGGTAAATAGCATAAAGTGATGCGAGAAAGGAAAATGCATCCAGTTATCTTTTATTGGATCTCTCCTGCATCAGGTGGTCAGAAACAGGGCTGTTTAATGATGATTCCACAATGTCCAGCTCCATTTACAATCCTTCCAGCAATGATTGCTTCATACCATCTTACAGCAGGACTGGAGAACAGTCAGATGTGAGGTGACAGCTGTGGCAATGTTTTATTTTTAGTTTTCGAAAAATTCTTCAAAGAGTGCTTCTATCTAGAGGAATCCTCTTGTTCCCCTACCTAGATGCTCCCACAGCCCTTGTGGGGTTACGAATCGTACAGTAGTGGTGAACCTCCATTGTATCGGCCTCCTCCTTCAATGTTGTCATCATGGTCCTAATGTTGCATTTGTAGATTTGCCACATGCATTTCCTCCTCCTGATAACAGGATCAAGACCTAGCACTGAAAATTCAGCGTCATGAGTAAAGGAAGTTCAAGTTCCCCAGCCTGTGTTATTGGATTAATCAATAAATCCATTTGCTCAGCTTACTGATGAGGCATTACATGATTTATCCAAGTTCATGGTCACTAATGGCATCAGCAACCTTATGTATCATGTTGTTGATGGCATCAACATTAGATTTATTCTTGAGTTCTGTGCTTTTTAAAGTGAATCAAGTTAGTTTTCAGGAATACAACATTCTTCTAATTTATTTCACCAAATATCAGCATTAATAGAACATTTGTCTATAGTAAAAGTAAAAGTCAGAGAATAAGAGAAGGAGACTAAAGTTAAGATAGTAAATAAAAACTGAAAGAACTGCGGATGATGTAAATCAGGAACAAAAATAGATGTTGCTGGAAATGCTTCGCAGGTCTGGCAGCATCTGTGAAGAAACAATCAGAGTTAACGTTTTGGGTCCGGTGACTCTTCCTCACCGGATGCTGCCAGACCTGCTGAGCATTTCCAGCAACCTCTGTTTTTGTTGTTGTTGTTGTTAAAGTTAAAGTAGAATGGAGTATCTTTTAAGATGAAATAATTTGAAAAGGAGCTGCCTTGAGTTCTACTCACAAATTGGTTTTCCATTTTGGAAGCTGATGAGTGCACCAGTTCCTCAAGGGAGTACAATCAGACCCAAGCTTCTGCACTACAAGTGGCCTGACTATACAGAAGGGGAGAAACAAAAAAGCAGCAGTGACAATGACTGGGGATTCAGTACTGAGAGGAACAGATGTTTCTGTGGCTGCTTTTTGACTCTAGGAAGATGCAAAAATGGGTTAGTGTCAGAGTCAGGGGTGTCACTGAACGACTGCAGGGCATCCTGAAGGGGATGAACGATAAGGCAGATGTCATGGTACATGTTGGTACCAATGATAATAGGTAGAACGAAGTATGATTCTTTCATAAAGAATTCAGGAGCTCAGCAGTAGATTAAAAATCAGGACCATTAAAGTTATAATCTTTGGATTACTCTCAGTGCCATGTGCTGATGAGTGCAGAAATAGGAGAAAAGAGCAGATGAATGTGTGGCTCAAGAGGTGATGCAAGAGGGAGGATTTGTGATTCCAGGGTCATTTCTGGAGGAAGATGGGACCTGTACAGGCAGGATGGTCTGTACCTGAACCAGAACGGCACCAACATCCTTGCAGATGGTTGTGCTGGTGGTGATGGGAAGCAGTATAAATTAGTTCAACAGAGAGAAGGTATACATAGCATTAGTACAACAGGGAAAAAGCATTATGTAGTAAAGGAACTAAGGCAGGGGAGTTCAGCCATGTTGCTTTTCAAAGGAATAAGTTGAGGCTGGATGGCCTCTAATGGTAGGCGTATTATATGTATGACAGATGAGTTAAGGTGAATGGCTGGAGGTTTAAAGGGGTTTTGAGGAAAATGGTTTTCACCCAAAGGGTAGTTGGGGTCTGGAATGCACTGTCTGGTAGTTAAGGTGGGAAAAGTACTTCAATGAACACTTTACATGTCATAACATTCAAGGCTATGGGACAATTGCTGGAAAGTGGGATGAGTGTAGATTTAGAGTAGTTTTTGATGGTGCAGAGTTGATAGGCCAAAGGTCCTTTTCTGTATTGCATGATCCTATGATTCTGTCAAAAGCAAATCCAAGAAATCTGAAATGAAGACCAGCTGGATTTTTCCAAAAATTGGCTAATGTGAATTTCAGAGAGTTTCGTGGAGAGTTTCTCTCCGTGGCTCTAGTGAGTTATCTCACACAATTCTATGCTGCTTTCATCCAAACAATTGCACCAATAGTCTACAGCACAGCGTCCCACAGCCATGGAAGTACTTATTGCTGCTGAAACTTTTCAGGTTTCCCACCATCATATTTAAAGCCTAGCCTTGTACCAGAAGAAACGCTTCAACCCAGAAATAACCACTTACAATTGATATAATGATTGATCCAGGAAAACCAAGAAGAAAAGCTTCTGAGTGTGAATAATAACACTTCATTGTGCAGATCTCAGAGTCATTTCCTTCAAATATGTTCACTGATGCTCAGTTTGGGTTCTGCCAGGGCCACTCGATCCCTGACCTCGTGACAGCCTTGGTCTAAACATGGACAAAAGAGCTGAGTTTCAAAGGTGAGGTGAGTGATAAACTTTGACATCAAGGCTGCATTCAACTCAATGTGGTTTTGAGGAGCTTTAGCAAAACTGGAGTCAATAGGAATTAGGGGGAAAACTCTCCACTAGTTGAAGTGAAACCTGGCACAAAAGAAGATGGTTGTTAATACTGGAGGTCAGTCATCTCAGTTCCAGAACATCTCTGCAGGAGTTCCTCAGGATAGTGTCCGAGATCCAAATATCTTCAGTTGCTTCATCAATGACCTTCACTTCAGCTTAAGGTCAGAAATGGGGATGTTTGCTGATGATTGTGCAATGTTCAGCACCATTCGTGATTCCTTAAAAACTGAAAGAGTCCATGTTTAAATGCAGACTATATTCAGGTTTGAGCTGAAATGTGGCACACAAGTGCCTGACAATGACCATCTCTAAAAAGATAGACTCTCACCATTACTCCTTGAAAATGAATAGCATCCCCTTCACTAACACCCCACTACCATTAATCAGAAACTGAACTGGTCTAGCCATATAAATACAATGTGTACAAGAACAGGTCAGATGCTGGGAATCTCACAAGTAACTCACCTACTGACTCCCCAAAGCCTGTCCACCATCTACGCGGCACAAGTCAGAAGAACGATACAATATTCCCCACTTGCCTGCCTGAGTGCAGCTCCAACAACTTTCAAGAAATGGATGGCACGGTGGCTCAGTAGCTAGCACTGTTGCCTCACAGCACCAGGGACCCGGGTTCAATTCCAGCCTCGGGCAACTGTCTGTGTGGAGTTTGCAGGTTCACCCTGTGTCTGTGCGGGTTTCCTCCAGGTGCTCTGGTTTTCTCCCATAGTCCAAAGATGTGCAGACTAGGTGGATTGGCATGCTAAACTGTCCATAGTGTTCAGGAATGTGTAGATTAGGTGGGTTATAAGGGAATGTGCCTGGGTGGGATGCTCTGAGGGTCGGTGAGGACTTGTTGGGCCGAAGGGCCTGTTTCCACACTGTAAGGATTCTATGATCAATGAAGCTCATTCAGAATTAAAAAGCCTGCTTAAATGACATCTATAAATATTCACTCCCTCCACGACCACCAATGGTCAGTAGCTTTGATGTGTACCATTTAGAAATTCACCAAAGATCCTTAGATAGCATCTTCCAAATCCATGACCAGTAACATCTTGAAGGACAAGGGTAGCATATATCTGGAAACAATACCACCTGCTCTTCCAAGTCTGACTTGGATATAAATTATGTCATTGGGTCAAAGTCCTGGAACACTCTGCCTGTCAGTTTTGTGTGTCTACCTACAGCAAATGCTGCAGCAGTTCAAGAAGGCAGCTCATCATCATCTCAAGGGCAATTAGGGATGGATACCCAATCCCATGAATGAAAACAAATGATTGAAGCTCATTGGCTGAGCAGCTTGTCAATTGGGATGGTCAGCATCCAATGCAACCAATCTGGCATACGGACAATCCCAATTGACAGATTTACCTTCCAAAAATGGCTGTAGTTCTAAACAAGAGTAATTATTGGCTCAGCTAGATGTACCAGATACCCCAGTCCCTCTCAATTTGTTTACTTCATGTAGTGACTCTCAGATTGTTCTGTTGGACCTGGCTCCAACAAGGTGAGGTAAACTAAAGCAGCTACTAGTGTTTCACTTTTACCATAGAGGTCACTTCCCAAACTCCTCCCTGGATGGCATGCATGGCCCTGCTCTTGGCTGCTCTGTGTCAAGGCTCATGGCTCCTTCCCTTACAAACTTCTACATCAACTCCTACAGCTTGGAGACTTCAGAAACTGAAACCTTTCTGCTACAGGGAAACTGTTCTGATGTGAAACCTGATTCTGAACTGAACTTAAATCCTAGTGTAAGGTAACAAGGTGTAGAGCTGGATGAACACAGCAGGCCAAGCAGCATCAGAGGAGCAGGAAGGCTGACGTTTCGGGCCTACACCCTTCTTCAGAAATGG